CAATTTGTTTAGTGTCCCAACTTTTTTGGAATCCTGTTTGTACATTCCTAATGTAAATCAAAAATCCAAGATGGCCACCTTAAAAAATACGATAACTCGGCTGTTTTAATGTACTTAGCTGAAATTTGATGTGCTGGTAGCTAGGGCATTAACAGAGTACTCGAGTAATCTACACATCGATTGCTAGAACATCTATCAATGTTAAAAATGTAAAGTCGCGTATCCGTAGTGACGTCATATTGTGTGACCACCGTATGACCGTAGGGGGCGTTGTTGCACTGTTGCAGGTCACAGAGTATGGTGTAACACTGGGTCCAATCCACCGAACCAGAACCAGTTTCGGTTTAAGTTTCGTTTTTGACGTGCTGCATTTTCTTCACGTTTGCAGTTTAATAATAATAACTAATAGTTTAGTTTTTCCTGTGACTTATTTGCAGTATGATAAATGGTAGGAGCATAATATACGCTCCCAATGTTTTGTTGGTCTTTTTTTTTTGTAAATAATTATCGTTTTTTGCGGTTTTATTTATTTATTTATTTTTGTATCTTGAGATCTATGACGTCATCAAATACTCGAGTTCTACTCGGGTATTATTATGTTAATGTCGAGTTTAAAAATTATATACTCGTTCAACCCCTAGTGGTAGCTGACTGTAATGCACAACACATTCTGAATTCAAATTTACAAATTCAAGATGGCTACCAAGGCTAATTTCTAATGGCTATAAATCTGAGGTTTTTAGAGCTATTCAGCTGAAATTTAGTGTATTGGTAGCTGAGAACAATCCCTAATAGACTCTGATTGTAAAGCAAAAATCCAAGATGGCCACCTGAGCCAAACAGGAAAAATATTATAAATCAACCATTTGTAGAGATATTAAGCTGAAATTTGGTGTGATGGTAATTGAGAGCAACACCCAATAAATACCGAATCCAAATAAAAAAATGCAAAATGGCCACCATAGCAAAAAAAATGTCTAACTTGTAGATTTTTTTTTTTTTGGCATATTGAGCTGAAATTTTTTATGCTAGTAGCTGAGAGTGAACTCCCAGCAAAATACTGTCAAATCAAAGAATTAAAACGGCTCCAACACTGCAGTCCCCATTTCTTCTGGAACTTTCTAGTTTACTTTAGATATGCCGATCAATTTATTGTATCACAAAGACTGAGAAGGTCATTTTGTTGAACCACCCCTGACCATCTTAAACAAATGTGCCTCGGTTCGTCACACCTGAATTAATTACAAGGCCTGACAATGTTTGAAACGTCGCAGCAGATAATAACACGGTGCATTTTGTTCACTTGACTGACTGCTTTGTTCAGTTTGACACGTGATTGTTGCTAACGGTGTAATGCGTCATGTTTTCCTGCTCCTCAGTACTGCAGACAGTACTTCAGTGAGTCACTGACCTGTGGGTTCAAGATGTGTCGCTTCCAACATCTGCCACTGGAGGGGGATGAGAAGGTACGCTCAGTAAAATGTCAGCAGTTTTCCAGACTAAGAATGAGGGTGAACATTTATTAATGTAGCAGAATAATAATTGACCCTGTAATGTTTCCTAAACTGTAAAGTTTTCAGGCATTAGCTTCTGATTGTGAGTTACTGCCATGCATCAATCAGGAGATGTTTGAGCTTGCAGGTGTTTGTTCACTACAGGGAGAATATCACCCTCTGCTGTGCTTTCCATGCAGTTGCACATTTCATACATAATAATTTACTTCTGTTTGTGGCTGCTAGTTCTGTGTTGAAATGGTGGCAAGATTCATCAAAAACCCAATGTGCCTGCAGAAAGCTGGTAAGTTAGCTTTTTATTTTCCTTCCCCACATCTGAAGTTTTATTTTTCTTCTCATAAATAATGTCAATTCAGTTTATTTTTATAGCGCCATGTCTCAACAGAAGTTGTCTCAAGACACTGAACAGAAGCATTTATATAGATTAAAAAAGACATTTAGTAAAATTCTTTATTTGTGGAAGCGGCAGTCTCGTTGAATCTTCACTTTGTCACAGTCTCCCATCCTGAGCAAGCACAAAGGAGACAGTGGAAAGGAAAGTCTCTCTTTTAACAGGAGGAAACCTCCAGCAGAACCAGTTTCAGGATGAGTGGCCATTGGCTTTGAGCAGCTGGGTTTGACAGGAAGGAGAAACTGACAAACACATGACAGGTCCAGATGTACTTTCTATAGGAGGAAAGACAAGAAAAAAACGTTAAGATAGAAATAATTACAAATACAAACAGGATG